TGTTTATCAGTATTTATGTGCTGTTTACCACCTCTGGGAGGTAGATTAAGGTTATTGCTTTGCTGTACTGTGTAACACTAGCTTATGGTACGATAAAATTGTTGGTCGTGAGATCAATCTGGTAGTTGTACTCAGCATTGCCATCACCTCTGTACTTCAGGAACCATCTATCGGAAATTATTAATAATTACACTTTTTACTTTTTCTCCTCGGAGAGCCAGCCTATGGGAGACACACCTTCCTCCATCTTCCCCTTCTCCTCCAGCCTAATTACCATAGCTCCTGAGAATTTTTAATATCCTTGGGATGTTCAAACCAGCATGTTCCTATTGCTATGTCTCCTGAATGTGGTTCAGGTCTTGTGTAGGGTTAAACAACTATTTAAGAATACCATCCAGAGATCTACCCCTGCGACAGGCACTGTGACTACTCCAACCCCGGCGACAGACGTTGTGGTTACTTCAACCCTCGAGACAGGCACTGCGGCTACTCAAACCTTGGTGACAGGCACTGCAGTTATCAACATTACCACAGCAGTTATCAACATTATTTTCACCCTAAATCCAAAACACAGCACTATACCAACTACTAGGAAGAAAATTAACTCTATCCCAGCCGAAACCAGGACACAAGCTTAACTTTATTACCTTGGCAAAGGTTGGTTTAATTTCTGCTATATGAGAAAGGTCTTGTTGGACTCAGTTGGAGTGGCATTCAGGATGCTGCATCCCTGTCAATTGAGGTGCACAGTGTGAGATGCTGTTACGCTCTGGGTGGGAACACCACTATATCAAAGAGAAAGATGGTTCTGGCCAGTAGTATAGTCTGTCTCTTTGTACATGATATTTCTAAAACCAGCAATAGATTATAAACTCACGCAGTTATTGCTGAGCATAAGAGTGTCTGAAGTTTCCATTGGTCTTAAGGGATACAAAGGACATTTTTGTATCTGTTGGTAAAAGATATCTGTTCTTTCCATGAGCTCTTTAAATGCTGCTGAGTATAAAGATGAATTCCATCATTACTTGAGAGTAGTATTTTGAGGGTTACCTCCATATGTCCGTACCAACAACAGTCGAGTATGTGTTTATTGGGTGGAAGAAATTTATTGGATCAACCTGCTATTTGAGCAGTGAAGAATAATTTCATTGCTTGGAAGATTGTAAACTGGTATTTTTCTTGCCCTCCATTCTGTCAAAGGAATTGGGAGCAAAGCACGAAGCGCTTTCCAAAATTTTATGTTGAGTCTCTTGTAACTTCATGGGGCCTTAAGTCTTTATCACACAAAATTTTTTGATACTTCTCTTCCATGATTGCTCACCTCTAATTTTTGCAGCCAGAGTTTTGCTGGCAGAACTGTGAAATTAGCACAGTAATTAATGTGCCACTTGTCACCCTCAAAGCACTGTTTATTTCACTGGATTTCAGTTTTGTATGAAAGCTGCTATACAACAAAAGGGAACAAAATACTTTATGGGAGACAGACAGACAGACATACAAGAAAAAGTATTTCTGTTGAAATTCAGGGATATGTAGATTGTTGTCCCCACTTCTACTGGCTAGCTTCTGCTTGATATGTACCCAGAATTTCCAGGTTTTTTTGGCATTCTCTGGAAACCACTCACAGTGGACTTAGTGCCTCTAGGTGCTACATTAACAAGTCTTACACTGTAGGAATTTACTATGAACTGGATATTCTCCTTTTCTTGGTTGTTCATATGGAGAAATGTGAAAACATTGGGGGTGGGTTTTGGAGTGGTTTGGTTTTTTCCCCCAGTAAAGATAGATTTCATTCTCCAGCCACTGAAATAGAACTTTCACATACTTTAATTTGTCTTCAATGGACCTCAACTATAAATATGATCCACCTATACATATGAATTTGGGGGACGGGTGAAAATGACATTCTTTGTGTAGTTTCTGAAAAGTCTCTGTAGGAGTGCAGATCCTTGATGTCACCTTGAGGGAATTCATCGAAACGTGTTCTAATTTGGCTGGCCTGGTTGCCAAGGTAGACATGTAGTTTTCAATCTTTGAACATTTTGTTGATCGAAGTAAGAACAGAGTGTCGATTTATAACTTTTGACAGCTCCAGAAATGGCCCTTTCTGTCAGGCAGTGTCATGTACAGAGGAGGGAGCAACAAGCACAGCTGCTATCCTTAATTTATTTTGATAAAACACTTTTACACAGGTGGTCAGTGCTAGAAACTGATCACATTAGCTGTGACCAGATTTAGACACTTGCATCTCGAGCTCTTTTGTGAGCGTTGGCTCCTAAGTGGATGATATTTTTTTTATTTTTATACTTAACAGGGAAATTCTTTATGAAGTTCATTACAAGATTGCTATTTTGTGCCTACTGCACTGTATCTACATCCTAAAGTGAAATTGTGCCCTTCTGCAAGTCAAAAGGATTTTCTCTACTTCTGTTTTATCACAGGATTTCCTAATGTTCTGTAATACACACACAAAAAAACCCAACCAACCAGCCAACCAACCAAAAAGATTGCAAAAGATTATCTTTTAAAATTGTTTTAATTAACCATAAATAGGGTAGATTTTGTGATGATGATAATAACACACATTTTCTCTTTGTGAGGTTTTTGGATTTATTACCATACTAGCCTTGCATTACAAAGAACCTGCTCAATCACTAATTAGTATTTTTCCTCCAAAATATATTTTCTGGAAAATTGCTTTAAAGGTATTTATCTTAATTGCTTTTTAATTTTTTTTCAGGGAGTGCTGGAACACCTGTTATCTTCAATGAAAATGGAGATGCTCCTGGACGCTATGATATTTTTCAGTATCAAATCACCAACAAGAGTACAGAATACAAAGTAATTGGTCAGTGGACTAACCAACTTCATCTAAATGTAAGTACTAGTTTGATTATGATGCTGGCATTGGAGAATACTAATTTGAGTATTACATTATTTCAAAACACTTAAAAAATGTTGATGATTTCATCTCAGTTGGAAGAAGAAAGCTCTTCCATTCTCTTCTTGAGAAAACAGTAAAAGATAGCACAATAACCTGAACCAAATTCTTTATATTTTAAAATAGGTTGTGTTGTGTATTTACCTGCTCTTTTAAATGATATTTTAGAATAACTGTATATCTGATATTCCTCAAACTGATTATAAAGTTAGGCAGGGAAATAGTAACTCATCCTTTAAAAGAAGGTGTCAGAAAAAATGATGGGTACATATATATTGCCCAGGTATTTCAAATAATATAAGGGGATGGAAATGTATTTAGTAAAAGAGAAGTTTGGACTTTAACCACCTCTGATTTAATTGAAACACTGGATGATGAACTATTGCAATAAAAATACTTCTTGAATATAAAGGGAGAATTTGGAGTTTTTCTATACAGTTAACTAGGATTAGTATAGTCCCTTATTACTTAATAGCAGAAGAAACAAAAGACACAACTTTCTAATTGCTGCCTTAATATGTTCTGCAAGTTTTGTGGTAGTTAAGCCCCACCTGTGCATGGAATTATATTTGTTTTGCAAATGGCCATCCCAATAAGATTCAGAGAATATAATATGCAATATTTGTATGACAGCTAAGCATCAAGCCACAGCTGTAACTTGAGAAGTTGTTGGGTCCAAGTTACTTTTCTGTCAGAGGAGAGAAGATGCAGAGTTGTGAGGAGAGTTACAGTCATGAGAAAAACAAAATGAAGTTAACCTGTTTCCTTGTTAGCTGTGCAATATTTACAGGTTTACTTGAGGCATGTTAGCCATTTGGGTAGCTCTGCAAATGTGAAATACCAAGTGTTGTTTTGCTAAGGGCTGATGAGAAGGGCAACGGTGCGAATTGATGACTAGATCACCAACGGGAGTTTATTCAGTGACTTTAATCAAATCACAGAAAGCAGGTTTCAAACATCTCTGGTGAGATGTGAGAGGTTTCTGAAGAAGAGTAACAAAGACAGTATAGTAAATATTTACAAATGACTCTCCTGTTGAGACTACTTTGCAATAATTATCTGAGAGCTACCCACAGTAACACATATGATAGCTCCCCATTTTCAGCCACAGCTGTTAAACCACTTTACTATATCTACCGTTTAATATTTATAACTACTTGGCAAGGAGTCATTTATTTAATTCTTCTGCCCAAATAGAAAAACCCTACCAACAGAAACTGTGTGTAGCAGATTGTGTGGTAGTATTATCTCCCTCCGCTAACCTGATATCTGTTGAAAGGCATGAAAGCAAAAAAATGGTTAAACAAGTTTAAAGATTAATACTACATAGTAATTTCTGGAAAACACTAGTTAGATCCTTATCATAACCATTATGGCATACATTCCAAATCTTCGTAATTGCTACAGTTTTCTGAAAAGTTAATGTTTATTAGGTGAGCTGGAAAAGTGATACACACATTTTAAACAAACTAGCATGGCATTTTCATAGTAGTAGTTAAAAGCTACCTTAGAATTTGCTTCAATTTTAATTCCATTCCAATCTGCCTTTTTCTATCCCCCCCTAGACTGCTAAATGTTTCATTAGCTTGTAGCTTTTCAGTCCCATTATTTCTGCCTGATGTATGTGTACTCCAGGGAGTTCTCTGAAATATGATTGGATTGGCTGCTACTCAGACTGCTGAAACCACACCATGCTAACCACATTGACCACAAAGCTAACAGGAAAGAATTTATCTAAGGACACCCCTTGTTAAGTCTCATTAAGAATGGATGTGTTAGGATGTTCTTTGCCTCTCTTTTTTTGTCGCTTTTTTTCACCTCCATGAGCTCACGTGCTGGACACAACTGGTTGTCCAAATTCACGGGTGAGCTCTGTCTAGCGTGTGGAGTTGTTGAGATGCGAACGGGCTGGCACATCCACACGCAGCGGGTGTTTCTGCTCCCAGCCTCGTACCATGGCCCTGCTCTCGTCTCACCGCCCCCTGCTCTGCTGCACTCCCCCTGCTCACACAGCCCAGGGTGCAGGCACACAGGGCTCTGTCCCCCCGCACATAGCGCAACTGGACTCAGCAAGGAGATGTTTCTCTCCCTACCTTTCTCTCCTGTTTCTTGACTTACTCAACTTTATCTAAAGCCTGGAAGATTTCTAAAGGGACAACTTTATTTCTTAAAGTTTGCCAGGGCTTGACATGCTGGATGCAAGTCTCCATCAGTGTCTGCAGGCGCTGGTATAGTAATAATGAAGAAGGAAGTCATAATAGGGGTGACGCAGTTTGTTTCCATCTGTTTCAATATTCACTAAACTTACTTAGCACATGTCAAATATAGTTTATGCCACATGATGATCTGCTGTGGCAAAGCTGTTGCTTCCTCTCGCTAGAAAAAATGTACTAAAACCAAGTAATCTTTGTGAATGATTGTCAATACTCCAAATCATCATATTGCAAATTAGGTAGTGCCTTTGACTGCCAATGGATCAGAGGGAACAGTGGATGTTTTCATAGAATCATAGCAAGGTTTGTGTTGGAAGGGACCTTAAAGATCATCTAGTTCCAAGCCCCCTGCCATGGGCAGGGACACCTCCCACTGGACCGGGTTGCTCAAAGCCCCATCCAATCATCCACAACTTCTCTGGGCAACCTGTTCCAGTGACTCACTACCCTCATCGGAGAGAATTTCTTCCTTATATCTAATCTAAATCTACCCTCTAAATCTACCCTCGTTTCATTGGTTTCAGTGAAAACATCTATATTTATCGAAGGCAAAACACTACTAAGATGACAGAGCACTTTTTACCCTGTTATTCTATAAAGGAGATGCTTTTAAAATATAATACTTTTCCCACTGTATCCTTCGTTCTCCTGCAGTTTCCTCTTAATGAAGACACATGCAAATACGACTTTTAATGAATCTCTGTCAGCTAGATATCCTCTATAGATACTTCTACTCCTGTTTTTACAGATATTTCTACTTCAAATTGTGTGGTAACATGTTGTAGCTATGACTGTGTTTGTGATTGTGTTCATCTATACAGCTGATACAGTGCTTCAGAAAATTTATAGCTTTTATGAATTTATTTATGCCAGAAAAATAAATCATAATAAATCACCAGGTTTGCAGCACAGTTCAACCCTTGGAACAATTAATGTAACTAAGATTAGAACATGTCTTGCATCTAAATAATTGAATCAAAGGGTTTCTTTTCTTCTTTCTGATCCCCCCCCCCCCCCCCTTTTTTTTTGTTTTCCTTTTCCTTAGGATGCTCTTTGATATTTTCTCTGTTGGGTTTTGGCTGCGAGTCTCTGTTGTGTGGGCTATGTATCCTCACCCAGTGGCCAGCCCTAGTCCCATCTCTGACCCCGACCCTTAGGATTCGGGATTCCTCTGCCACGGTCTCTGGTTCCTCAAAGTTTTTGCTGACTCTGCAGGGTCCTTGTGGTCAAGCTTCAGACTTGTTCCCTTCCTGGTGCAGTGCTGGCTTTCCCTTTAGGCAGAAAGTGCTGACTCTGGCTAGATAAAGATTGTATCATGCTCCCTAAGGGGCTCCTTGTCAGCAGGCTTCGCCACCTGCAGAGATCCTTTTAGCTGTGATGCTGGTTTTTCCCTCTAGTCCTCAGTAACATTAATGCCCTCCTTTAGGCAGACTGACCTTTCATATTTCCTTTGAAGCAGCTGTAGCTTCCAGATATAGGAACTTCATGATTACCGATCAGTAATCTTACTCTTACTCTTACTCTTGCAATTAAAATCACAGAATAGTTTGGGTTGGAAGGGACCTTTAAAGGTCATCTAGTCCAACCCCCCTGCCATGGGCAGGGACATCTTCAACTACATCAGGTTGCTCAGAGCCCCGTCCAACCTGACCTTGAATGTTTCCAGGGATGGGGCATCTACCACCTCTCTGGGCAACCTGTTCCAGTGTTTCACCACCCTCAGCGTAAAAAATTTCTTCCTTATATCTAGTCTGAATCTACCCTCTTTTAGTTTAAAACCATTTCCCCCTGTCCTGTTGCAACAGGCCCTGCTAAAAAGTTTGCCCCCATCTTTCTTATAAACCCCCTTTAAGTATTGAAAGGCCGCAATAAGGTCTCCCAGAAGCCTTCTCTTCTCCAGGCTGAACAACGCCAACTCTCTCAGCCTTTCTTCATAGGAGAGGTGTTCCATCCCTCTGACCATTTTTGTGGTCCTCCTCTGGACCTGCTCCAACAGGTCCATGTCTTTCCTGTGCTGAGGACTCCAGAGCTGGACGCAGTACTGCAGGTGGGGTCTCACCAGAGCAGAGCAGAGTAGAGGGGCAGAATCACCTCCCTCGACCTGCTGATCACGCTTCTTTTGATGCAGCCCAGGATACGGTTGGCCTTCTGGGCTGCAAGTTCACATTGCCGGCTCATGTCCAGCTTTTGGTCCACCAGTACCCCCAAGTCCTTACAAAACAAACACATGTGTGAAAATGCTGACAGATACAGTATAGAAGTTAATTTAAAAAAGAAACATGACCTTCAAAATTTAAATTTTTATGTGATTCTTGAGTTTGAATAAGGTATCTCAATCTTTGACAGATGCAAGGAAACTCTGAAAGCAGATATTTAGAAACATCAAGCTAAAATCTCAAAGAACCTGATTGTCTTTTATACAATTATCACTTACATGATTCTGACAATGTAAATTTACACCCTGTTTAAAGTCCTTTTACTCTCTAAGGTTGCTTGACTTCAAATGGTCTTAATGTACTGGAAATAACCAGACCCTAAAAATTTTTAGTATCACTCTGAAGGAAAAAATAGTTGCCTTAGAAATTCTGATCATTGACTACATGTTAACTGTCAGAGTTTTCTTTTGTTTGCTTTCCTTCTTTTCTTTTCTTTATCAGTAGAAGAAGATAACTTATTTTTCAGGAAACTCTGGTAGTTGAAAACCTTTCTTCCAAAAAATATTC